TCAGATAAGAAACTATGGACATGAAACAAGGAACTGTAGAAGGTTAGGGAGGACCCAAAACATACCATGATGTGACTATAGAGGCATGCTTATAGGATCAAATGGTATAAATACAGATGTAACAGGAGAATAAAACGAGAAGCTGGCTATGCTGGTCATCTGAACGCTGTCCCCGTGTCGTTCCTTCTTCGCCGACTCCGTCCACACCTTTGGGAACCCCTGGACCTGCTGGGGCTGGACCCCAACATTTCTCTCCCCCCTTCCTCTTTGTAGAATCAATTAAAGAAAAAAAAAAGTTTGGGAATCTCCAAGGTTCCCCACAGTGGCCACTGCATTCTCAATTGTTTTTGGTCAGATCTGTCCATTTAGTGAAACATGCCCCTGAAGCGTGGCCTCATCTTTCAAACCTGAGTTCCTGGAGGAGGGGCGGCCTTAAAATACTTAAATAACTGAGACCCCACTTTTCGGAGACTTCTCCAGAGCGAGGGCCAAAGGTCAGATTGTAGGCGGCCTGGTCACGGGGGTGGGGGTGGAAGGTTGGGGCGGGGCGCAGGCCTAAGGCAGACAGAGAGGAAGGGAGAGGGAGAGAGAGAGATAGAAACATCAATGATGAGAGAGAATCACTGATTGGCCGCCTCCTGCACGCCCCCCACTGGGGATGGAGTCTGCAATCCTGGCAAGTGCCCTTGACCGGAATCGAACCCGAGACCCTTCAGTCTACAGGCCAATGCTCTATCCACTGAGCCAAACCAGCCAGGGCAGGGACTTCATTTTTTAAATATCTGTATTGTTGAAAGCATTACGTACGTCCCCTTTTCTCCATTGACCCTTTCTAGACCCCCCCTCACCACTCACCTCAAGCCTTCACCACCCTATTGTCTGTTTCCAGGCCCCCCCCCCCTTTAAAAGCTCAACTGCCCCTGTTAATGCTAAGACTTTATTTTGTAAAGAGGCAACTTCAGATTCTAGGTAATGTTTGTAAGCCTCAAACTACCGCTGGAAATGGGCATCCCTCTCATCTTTGCCAGTTTCAGCGCCCTTATTGTCCTCTTCGCTTTTAA